AGAAGGAGCTCGTCCGTTTTGTTGGGTAGAGAGCGGAGGTTCGCCAGATGGATGCTAGGCAACGGCGTTCTGAATCCGCGCTGCCTTAGCTTCACGAGCGCGCCGGCTCGCTTCCCCTGTCTGCGCGTCCTGAAGCGCTTGATCAGCGCCGCAGCTCCCCTGACAACAATGTCCAGCAGAATAATCGAAAACCGGTGAAATATCGGGTGGTATGTACTTCCGAATGTCCAGCAATTCGTCTCTGGTGAAACTGATTGCAGGGATATAACTAAAGACAGGACAAACTAACAAAAACATAAAAACAACTGCGGAGCACGCCACGGAGGCAGCCATCAGCGTCGGCGCCATCGCAAACAAGGCTGTGCAAGCCTGAGGCGCGTACTGGAAATATGCTTATTATGACAGTTATTCATTTACATTTTATTAAAACTTGCAAAAACCTTTCTGTCGAGTGATGTAAATAAACTTCACAATAGTTTATTGTGCATGCATATTATATTTAAAGTTGCTTAAGCGAAATCAAGGAGTTTATAAGACTGGTTTATTCATGTAGAACATATCCGCGTTTGTGCATCAGTGTCTGTAATGTGTGCTGTAGGTGTGAAACTTTTAGGAATCTTATCCGAGTTGTAGGCTAGTCAATATTGCTCAGTCCGTCGTATCTGAGGATCCGCTAATGAAGCTGTGACCACAAACACCATTTAAGTTAATTATATGGTAATAATCAGCAATATGCTTTCACACAAATAACTTTATTTTTGAATGTTTCAATATGTGTTGACACAAATGACTTATTTGAATTTTTCATTGATACAACATTGCACTGAGTTAGAAACGAAATGCGTAGAGACGTTATTGCTTGATGACGTCAGGAACCGATTAATCGGCTTTTTGAACCGGTTCAATGAGCCGATCTGTCCGAAAAGAACCGGTTCGCGGAAATGAATCGGACTTTGCATCACTACTGCCTACACAAACAAATACTGACTTTAGTCATCTAATTACCTTTCTTGCTGAATAATTCAAGCACTCTTCGGATCACAGATGCTGACATGATCAAACTGACGAATAAGATGAAAATAAACGTAGATAAATATAGTGTAGAATGAAGCGTTCAGTGTTTTCGTGCCATGCGAATTCAGTGTGAATTTGTGAATGAGATGAGAAAGTTTCTGCACATATTTCATTGATTTACAAGGCGATTTAAAACGGTCTGTTGAGTATAGTACAATATTTCTTTCTACTACTATTTCATTGTCATTGTGAATGAAAGCTTTTGCATTGATTTAGCATTGGATCAGTTTTCTAACCTTTAAAATCTTTTTCTCAGTGTCATGACCTTTACATTTGTTGATCTGCTCTGATAAAGGATAAGTTCAGACTCACACATCATATGAGCATTTAACAAAACTCTGATAAAAGTGTGTCTCAATTCTTGCCTCATTCTTAGGTTGTGATAAACATCTTGTGATTTTATTTAGCTCATCTTGTGATTTTTGACCTTAGTGTTGCAATATGACAGTGTTTGTCTGCTTCAGTCCAAACTTTCAACACAGAAATGTCAAAACGAAGGAGATTTTGAGCAGAATCCCCAGAGTTTCTGTTTTTACTACTAAAGCTTGGTTTATTATTGAGATTTTGGAGACTGGAAACACATCTGGAGTCTGTAAGTTAAAATGCTTTTTGTAACTGAATACATTTAAATACATTTACAATCTGACAAATACTGTAAATAGATATATTGAAAATAATTTTATTCATGTTTAAAATGTAAATGCAACAATAGCATAAATGATTTATAATGCATTTTTTAAAACAGCTTTTGCCAATTTCATTTTGTTGCTAATTGTGTCTTTCAGAACAATCATGTCAAAATGTTCACTTAAGCATAACATAAAAATACAACATGTTTATACGCTATCATATAAATCATGATATTTCTTATGAGGTCTGTGTCTATGATAACAGCATAGAAATCATTTTAAATGTAAGAGCTTGTATGTTGTACAATATGACGAGACATTGCAACTTATGTTATTTTAGCTTAGAACAGACAATAACGCGATACACAGGTGTAACATACACGTGCGTAACATTGTGTCGTATGGTGTGCAGAGCTGGGAAGGTTACTTTGGAAATGTCATAAGTTACAGATTACAAGTTAGCCTAATTTAAAATGTAATAAGTAGTGTAACTATTCAATGTTAATCATTTTGAAACATTTAAAGCAGGCAGGGTAACATTACAGTAGACTTTTGAAATTCTTCATCACTTGAATTAAGATCATAAAAAAATGAATTCTAAAGCACGGCCACCACAAAATCATCTCTTTTTACTTTGAGGTCATTATGAGGTTAAATACTGATTTAAAATCTCAACAAGATCTAGTTTAATAGCTATGATACTGTTTTTCTGAAATCAGATTATCTTTGACAGAAGACACTGGCATCTAATGCCTTGGAAAAAATAAAGCAAACACATAAACCCAAATAGGGAATTACATAGTTATTGAATAAGCATGTGTCCTATTCTGTGTCCTAAACTCCTGAAACATTGGTGTCTCATATTTTAGAGAAGCCGATAAAAAAACGAGGGAAAGAAATCAATCAAATCTGTAGCCTATGTGTGAGAAAATATTCAGATGTAATCCGTTGTAATCGTTAATTAATAATTTTCATAACTGTAATTTAATTGCATATTTTGTCTCGGTAACTGTAACAGATTACAGTTACATTTATTTTGCAATTAAATTAAAGTCCGCATGAAACGGAAGTTGCTGCCGACTTTATTTCAGTGTAGTGACGTATTTCCAGCTGAAACGGAATATTGAATAGAGGGCGTGGTTTTATTTTTGCGCCCCTCCTCTCTGTCTCTCATAGCAAACTAACGGATGGAGGGGCGTGGTTAAAGATATTCTGCCCCAGACTGTCCCAGGCCGTCAAACTGACGTCATCAGTGAAGCAAATGTTCAGATTTTGATTAAAGATTTCCAAGACAAACTATTTTTTTCAGCGGATTAACTTGCACGGATTAATTGTTCACATCAAGACTAGCTATGTGCGCTAGTAAAGTAAATAAAGTCAATTTTGATTTCATGCGGACTTTAAGTAATTCTGTTACATGTAACTAGTTCCTCCACAGCACTGATGGTGTGTCAGCAGGGGGCGCCAGATATACTCTGAATCCGCGAAAAATGGACTCGTGTGTGTTTTGTTTTGTTGGTTTTCAGGTAACACTGTGGTAGGCTACCTAGAAGACAAGTCCATGTATTCAAACCTGAAGGTAGCTGAACATAATAACCTTTTTTTTTTCTTTTCTTTTCTTTTCTTTTCTTTTCTTTTCTTTCTTTCTTTCTTTTCTTTTCTTTTCTTTCTTTCTTTCTTTTATTTATTTATTTTAGCTCATAATGTTTGATCTTACAATGTAAAATGATTGTAATTGTAATTACTGAAAGTTACCATAAAGTGGTACTAGTTTTACTACTATTAGAAAATGTATTAGATAACTTAATTTCCGGCCCTTTACTGTAACAACCTCTCTTGTTTTATAAATATTTAGCTAAAATCGCCGAATAACGTCACCGACTGCCATAAAAAAAGACTGTATGGCGTGTTTTTTGAGTCTCTGATGGACATTTTAAGGAAGAAAGCCGCGGGGGTTTTTAGAGGCTCTTCTGAGAGAAGTAGACGTGGTTTCTACAGAAGCGAGAAGCAGACCGCAAGGATTTTACCCTTTTATTCTCTTCAAACGAAAATAGAGACACAGAATGAAAAAGGAAACCCTTTATCTCGGAAAGCTTGAGTAAATCAGTGATCTGAAATTTGGCTTGTGGTGAGATGGAGACAGCAGGTCAGTGCATTCCTCTATATCGGCTCTCAGCGCTCGGTTAAAGGCTCAGGACAGATGATTTATCAGGAGAAATATAGATGATTTACTGAAGAGAAGCGCTGCAGCCGCAGACTGATGGAGAGATGATGATGGTGTTTGATTAGAGGATGGAAAACAGCAGAGGACAGAGAGAAGGATGTGACAGCAGAGGTGTGAGGGACTGATGGAGGATGTAGCAGCTCTTTTCTCGTAAACACACTCTGTGTGTGTGTGGGTGTGTGTGTGTGTGTGTTAGGTGTGTGAGTGTGTGTGTGAGTGTGTGAGGTGTGTGTGGTTTAGATATTTTGTGAATCTAAGAAAGAAGATAACAGCTCTCTTGGACAATTATAGCATCAGTTGCTTTACTATTTTTATTTGTTCTTTATATAGTTAATAATCACTGATAGTTGATGCTTTTGCTGATAGTTGTTGTTGTTGTTGAGTGTGTGTGTGTGTGTGTGTGTTAGAGCTGTGGTAAAACCACAAATGTTTTTTTTTCCGACCTCGATCTCTAGATCACCAGTATCTATCCTGTTTAACTCTAGGCCTGCTCAGCTTTATCTGAAACTCTTTCACTTGTGGTCGATGGAGAGGTTATTTGGGGTTAGACTTCTTGTCAGAAGGTAAACTGGTTTTGTTTAATGGGAATGTGAGCCGGTTTGGTTCATAAGCGGTCATGAATATTTTTGGAGTTATAAATGAAACACGTTTGCTGGCAGCGTTTGGATCAGCTGGACCTGATCAGTAAACCAGACTAAACTAGACTAAACCAGTCCCTCCTGCAGTGAAGGAGGAAGCGAGAACAGCGCAGATCACCCGCTGCCAAAAACCTGCTCGACTTCAGTATTTCTGCTTAAATCATATTGGAGTCTGTAGCTTTGTGAGGCGGGTTTGATGCGGATCACTGCAGGTTTGTTCGTTCAGCGCATCTCTGTTGAATGGTTGAATTTCATTTTAATTTAATGCTGTAGACTTGAGCTAAAAGGCCATCGTGAAAAGCTGTGAAAGTTTCTCTGGTTTCGCCTGAATCTGTGAGTTTGGGTCTCAATTGAAAGGTTGAAATTGGCCAAAAACAGCCGAACGAAACTGCATCTAAATGAGAGTATCCTACTTTCATAAGTTCAGCATTAAAATAACTTCCCCAACATGTTGTTTACAGGCAGGTGTGTGTTATAAATAGGCTTGTCTAAACTATGGGCTCAGTTTTTGCACTAACAATCTTCAACAGAATCATTAGTGCAATTTCTGCTGCATCTCAAGCCATGTCTGTCCATTTAATAACCAGCATTTTATGTGTCCAAAATGCAAATACGATCACATTTTTGTATAACTTTTTGCAAAAAAAAGTACAGCTTGATTCAAATGACACTAAATGTAAAAAATGAATAAAATGTTCTGTTTAAGTGATATTTACCTTGATTTCACTCAAATCATCTCAAGCTCTTCACTAATGTTGTCTTCAGGCTAAAAGAAGTACACCAACGTTTGAAAAACTTGATTAGTGCTTAATGGCTTTGATGTAATAGATTAAAATAATTCCAATTGGTTTTAAGATCTGATCTGGCAAAATAAACAAACATAAATACAGAAAATGAATTGATAATTGTATGCCGGGACATTATCCAGCAATTTTACAGACATTTCCGTGAACCCTAAAACACAATGCAATGAAGTTCAAAATGTTAAAAGTTTCATTAATTAGAAAACCGTTTTGTAGTTTGGTTGTTTTGGGCTTCATTGCACTGAAGGGAGAGCTGCATTATTCCTAGTATTAGAAAGCAGAAATCACACTTGGTTGATGTGTCATTTGAAGATTATAACGTGTTGCAGAAGTGAGACTTTTAGAAATGTGCAATGCTGATGAACCCTGATTTGTAGGATTCAGTTGCATCATACATCAATGCAAGATCGTTCTGTGCTGTATCTATAACTAACATTGCTGTTATAGTTTCACTGCAGGGTGTTCGTATGAAATAGAGCCAAATATTGTCCTATCCTAACAAACCATACATCAATGGAAGGCTTATTAATATTCATCTTTCAGATTATGTATAAATCTCAATTTCATAAAATTGACCCTTATGACTGGTTTTGTGCTCCTGGGTCACATTTCGTCTTCATGGGATCCTTCAGTGTGGTTTTCAGCTTTACCTTTTAAGGCAGTCTTTACCGACTGGTTGAGGAGTAGTAATGGTCAGAATGGAAAAATATAAGAAACAGGCATCGGATGATTTCTTATTTTATCTTCTAGGCTACATCACCTTTATTTCTGTAGCGCTTTTCACATACAGAGTGTGTCATAGCAGCTTCACAGTGATAAACAGGAACATAACAGAACCAATTATGGAAACTTAGCTGTTGTGCTGTAAATGTGGCTGTAAGCAGGGTTTGAAAACGAGGTCAGGGATTGTGCTTTAATAACGCCTACAAATGCAACTCATACATATAAACATATATAGACATGTAGATGTTTTTTTTTGGGGTGGGCATTGTTAAATTAGACCTGATTTGTTGCATTCAAATTTGTTAATACTTTAGTTTAGGGGTGGATCATTTTTTTATTCTTTATTATTCATGCAACAATACTAAAGACTGTAATAGTTTTCATTAGTAAGCATTGATATACATGTATGATAAGATCTTTGTCTAGTGCTCTTATGAATGTTTTAGCGTGACTTTGTGAAAAACGCCTCCAGCATTTTGTTGCTAGATTTAGCAACTTTTTGAATTTTTTTTAAATTTATTTGGCAACTTTTGTGAATAAGTGAATAAAATGATACAAAGGCATGCATTTTCCCTCTAAATTACACAGAAAGTCAGTCTGTAGTGAGTTGGAGAGAAGTACCCAGCAGTATAGAGGTGCATCATGTGAATCAAGCTGCTAGCCGCAATAGTTCAATAATATTTCTTTCAGTTATGATACACAGTTTGTTCTTATTATTGTTGATCAGTTAGGTACACTGTAAGAAAAGCAGAAAAGGTACTGATCATTTTCTGGCAGGATATTATGTTAAGTTTACAGATATTTCCTGTAAACCTAAAACACAAAATACAGTGCGTAATTTAAAATACCTGTGAAAAATTAATATGGAAAATTCCTTCAGTATTGTGCCCTTTTCTTAAACTGTAGCATACTAACTACCAATACACTGCGTCAAATTATAGTTGTTTTGAATGTGTAGTTTTAGTTCAGTGTTGATTGAGTTACATGATGTGATTCGGCTGAAATCAGCTCTGCAGAAGATTATAGCGCATGCGTTTGTTCTCATATCGACAGATTTTATGAAGGTGTAATGTGACTGATGATGAATGATGTCATAACTGATGCAATGTTTCTACTCAAATGTATTTTGAGAAAAGCGATGCCAATGAAAGGAAATGTGTCAGGAAGGCTGAGATGGCATGTGTGTTTGAGTGATAAATATGTGTCAGATGTTCCGATGTGAGCACTAGTGAACGGACACATTAGCTGTATTAGATTCATTCACTGGAAGAAGAGCAGTTATCAAGGTAAGGGTAAAACACATTAAGGGTGATAGAAGAGTATTGTAATGATGCTGGGAGCCGTTGTGCCGTAGCTGATGGGATCAGATGAGCAGGTGTTGCAGGTATTAGATCAGTGTTGTGCCTGTGCTGAAATGTTGTCGGCGTCACAGTTTAAACAGAGGAAACAAACGAGAGGTTTTCTGAATAATGGATCTCTTATCTGGAAATCACATCATCTGATATCAGCGTTAACTGACACGGACTAATCATTCAGCTACTGATGGAGTTTTGTTTTTCTGAAAGAGTGAAATGAGAACATCTGTTTCTGCTCAGACTCACACTGACGTGAGAGAAAAAACAGGTGCAGCCCCTCAGATGTGCGGTGAACCTTCAGCGACAAGAACACAGAGAACGAGAAGATAGATAGATAGATAGATAGATAGAACGATAGATAGATAGATAGATAGA